CAACAAATTGGAAAAATAATATTTTTATCTCCTATTTGTTTTAAAATTCTTGTGAGAATTCAGATAAACTGCACTGTGCTGTGGATATATTTAAGAACTCATTGTTTTTCATTGTTGTTAATATCAACACTTCTCAATGTTTTATAAAATGTTTGTATTAGAAAACTGGTACTCTCATTACACAAAACATGATTGGACATAAGACAAAATTAAACAAGCAATTTCCTTTTTTATCATCTTTCTCTTCATTCTGGTTCTGACGAGAACTTAAAACAACTCTTATATTCCTCTTTCATTACAAGTCTCTCTTATCTTAAAATTTTTGGTTCAAAAATTATATTATCCAGGAAGCATTTTGTAATGACTGTAGTCACCTCCTTGTCCATACATTGATGATTGAGCCACACTTACATAATATACATATGTACAGGCAATACAAATTTTACAAATGTACAAATTTCAAGCCAAAACTCAGGTGAGCAAAAATCACTTCATTTTTTTGTAACAAAATTTTGTTTCTGTTAAGAGTTGCCTTTGTAATAAATGAAGTGAATTTAATCTCAGCCAAATCAAGTTTTCTTCTCTTGCATCTAAGTTCTGAGAGAGGCTGATGGAAGTATCAAGGCATTGGATGGGGTGGAGATGGGGTAGTGAGGAAAGCATAGGTGTCTGTTTCGAGTTATCTTGTACCAATGCCATTATCTGCTGAAATATTCATTCTAGCCTTTTGGAAGTCCTATGCTGATCAATGTTACTCTATGCTGCTTGTGAGTATGTGTGAATCACTTCTCTCTGCTATTACCTCCTAAATAAAGTATCCATATACAAGTTATTCATTATCTGAGGCTCTACTTTCAGAAGAAGCTAAGCTAAGACAAAACTTTAAAAGTGAAAATTTCAAAATTTGGCTAGAGTCTTTGTTTAGCTATGGGATAGGAATTAAGAGGTGTATGGTTTAATACTGGCTCTTTTCTCTATTCTAGGTTTCACAAGGCACAATTTGAAGGGGTGGTATTGATAGTGGCATAAACAATTGGAATTTCTATTTTATTAGTGAATTTTGTTGACACAGGAAGGCTATGTAACAAATTACCCCAAAACTCAGCATTTATTCTCATACTTACAAGTTGCCAAGATAACAAGTTCAACTTATTTAGGCTGTGCTTATCTGGACAGTTCTGTTTTGTGCTGTGAGCTAGCTGGATTTGGTTCCAGAATGTGAATCTGCTACATACACATTTGTTCTAGAAATAGGCGGAAGGGGCAGTATTTCCCTGGGGCATACTTTTCTCATAGCTCTGGACCACTGAAAATTATGCAAGCCCATTAAGGCCCTTGCTTGCATCATATCCATTAATATTCCACCGACCAAAGCAAATCGCATTGTCAAACTCAACATCAATAGGCCAGGAAAATACACTCTGTCCACAGGGACAGAGGGAGTGGCATGAATAATAATCATTAGGTGTATTAGTGATACAGACTTGCAAAATTCTGAGGCAGTTAGGAGAACATTACTCTTTTTCTTTATGGGTTTAAATTTGTACATAATAAATATTTATCCTTGGTGTGTGTTTGTGTGTGTGCATGTGCGCACGCTTGTACATGCAGCTTGCACATGGTTAGTCCAATAGTTACCATCTAGACATTCAAGGGAAACAGTGACCTAACTTCAACCCTCCCGATTGGAAGACTTTGAAGACGGCTGGCTGGATGTGGAGGACGGTCCACATCCTTCTGGAATTCTTGAAAAAATATTTCACTTCAGCTGAATAATTATGATTTAGGAGAAAGGAATGGAGTCAGAAGGAAAATCAGCACCCCTGGGAAGGAATGTCAGGTTCTGAAATGGTGGGTGGAAATTTTATAGTTAGAGATTTGAAGCAAGAGAGAAAAACGGGCCTGCGGGCAAGATATCAAAGTTGAGAATTGGGGGCTTCTGAGTAGGGGACTTCTGGGAAGGGTTTAATGCTTAGCTCCTATAACCTGGCCTATAAACAAAGGCATGTTTAATGAACTGTTGCAAATCATTTCTCTGACATGTAGTAAGTCTCTTTAGGTTTTTTCTCTATACTTCTGTTGAGAAAAAGGCTCAGTCATAAAACTTTTCATGTTGTCAAAAAGTGAAAGACTGAGCTATATGAAAAAATGAAATATACTTATTCAAGTAGATTCTTAAATTACCTTTGAGACAGCCCATTTTTCTATAAAAGAATTAACTTCCTAATGTAAAGCTTCAACTTTTTTTACAGTTTATTTAGGAAACATAATAAATAAGAGATCCTATTTTTGTTGGAAACATGAGCTTTTTTTTCTTTTTGACTTAGTGAGAAATCATTTATTCTTCTGATTCATAAGCATATTTTACATATTCTGGTTAATACAGCAGGTGTATAATGTGGGCTTTCCCATAAGAATGCTAGGGCCACACACGTTAAACTCAGCTATACATTCTGTCAGACTATTAGACAAATGTAACTTAATATCACAACATGTACACATTATACTTTTTTTTTTTTTTACTGACAGAGGAACATGCCTTTCAAAAAAATATTTTATTGGATGAAACTTTCTTATTCTTAGGAAAAGTTTGGTTCTTTAATATAATTTATGCCTTTTAAAATTCTGTTTGATAAAAGCATTGGTACATTATAAATACTTGTAAAGAAAATATAGTTTAAAATTTCAAGGGAAATATTATATACGTTTCCTCTTTTACATTTTCACAAAAATTCACACAGGCACTAAGAAAGACCGACAAAAATATTTTATGCCTGAACAATATACTCCAGGTTGGAAACATTCAAACATGACTTTATTTAAATATTAAAGCTTCTCTAGAGTGAACCTTTGGCTACAATCCAATGAATTGGTTGGGGTTTTATCCAGGAAAGGACATTGTTAGAAGTGTGAAAAAGAAAGCTTCGTACAATTAGCCCTAGGCTAAGAATGGGGAAAGGATGGGTTTTCATTTATTACTGTTCATTGGCCTCTCTGGGCCTTAACTTCGTTTTCTAGTTGAAGATTTATCTAATAATTCTCTGGTCCTTTTCATCTTTACTACCCGTTAATGTGCTGAAATTTTCAAAATTCTATTTAACACCCTATATCAAACATGCGAAACTTTCAAGGACAGAGTGATACTAGTGGTGTTCTTTTAGGAGAACATCCTCAAAGCATTATGGGTATTAATCTAGAAATACTTTTCTCTGCACAAATGTATATGATAGAATAGGGGATGAAATTTTGTCTTAATAACTACTTCAAACCAAAGCAAGTGACAGACTCTAGTGTTCTTGATCTTGTTCAATGTAGTTTTCTTCTTGGTCTAGTTCATGTGTAGCCTGATGAAGTTCACACTTCATGGAAAAATTATGAATAGCAAATCCAAGGGAGACTGCCAACATTGTGGGTGACTTGAGCCTTTGTGAACATACAGAGAATGGGAAGCTACGTGGTTGGCAGTTAATTAGTGTAAATGAGCATCCAGGTGAGGTGAGATTAAATGAATACATCGAACTAGATATCATAAGTACTTTCAGAAGTCTAGGATACCATTTTGGGGGCCAATGATTTAATTAAATCATGGCAAATTCTCATAATTATTGATTATTACACAGATCCTGCCTGAGAGAAGTTGAGGATCTTTTTTTTCCTAATGCATTTACACCTTGCACATGTCCATTTAGTGCAAGTGTAAGCAAGATAAAATGCCTGTTGAGTGCTGACCAATGACGTGTCCACTGTAAACTACATGGAGCAGGATGCCTTGAGGACCTGACATTCAAGTCTAGCTGGGCAGCTGCTACTCAGCTCCAGGCAACTGTTGCCATGAAGGAACCTGGGTCTGATAATCAGGTGTTATGTGAAATCTCTTACTTTCAATAATAACTCACATTTTAAAAACATTTTACATGCCTAATATAATCTACCTGAGGGACAAATGTGGCCTGTGGGCTGCCAGCTTGTGTCTTCTGAGCTGAAGCTTGGAAGCAGTTTGGTGAGAATTTGGATGCTATCAGCTCTAAGACTGGGGAAGAGCCTTTAGTGTTCGAGGAACGAACACTCAGTTTCAAAGATCCAGAAAAAGTTGTTCCAAGGAATACAATTTTAAAAACAAACAAAACCTCCCATTGGCTCTCCCGTTATGAATATTTTCCTTTTCTTATATTGATTCTCTGTGTTTTGAGTGGTTTTCTGTTATTATTGCTAAAAAAAAAAAAAAAAATTAGAAACTCGACAAATCCCAAGTATAAGTTTGTTCTAAGAAGTACATATTTAGTTCTCTTGATATCTAGTTTATGGCTGAGAAAGGAGACAGGTGAGAAAAATCCTCAAAAGAAGAAACAGAGGAAGACCAGAGCACACAACATGAGTCTCCATCACCCTTAGATACATAGAGGCCTCTACGTGGCACACTAAGCAAAGAAAAATCTTCTGAAACTGCTTGAACCAGATAACGCAGATTTTGAGGTCTGTTTCTTGATCTAAATTACCCAGCTTTTCCCCTAAATGACCAGATGGTCACTCCCTGAATAAGTATTACCTAGCAGTAGAAAAGATAGGGTATGTGTCTAATTGTGAACTTTCACCAGAGACTTTCTAAAGCCTTCTTTGGCATCAAAATTCAAAGAACCACAGGGCAAAGACGAGGGACAAGCTATCAGAAGAGTTTTCCTTCCTCCCATCCTTGGCAGATTACTTTTTCAAATTAATCTACTGCCCAGGTTATGTCTTTTCTTTAGAGGAATGAAATGAGAATGCCCAAGGAGGCATTTTAATGTGTTGCGAGGACCACGTGTGAACTGTGGCTCCAGAAAGAACAAACATTTTACTCGCATAGGCAAGGAAGACGTGCTTTGAAAGATCTATGACACGTTCCAGAAGCTGGATTTACTGTTTAAGCTCATCCTTTTCAAATGTCCAGTTTGGTGAGAAAAATAAAAAGTATCAGGATATTACAATAAGCCTAAGGATCAATGACAGAAACAACCGCTTTAGACACAGGCAGAATCTAAGGGGAAGGAAAAAGCATGAATATTTCCAACTCAGGACCACAGAATTATTTTAATTTTCCTCTCTCAGAATGTCCATTAGAGCTTGCAGCAGCCGGTCGTCTCTGTGCTTGTAAGGTTTTGTGTTATAGAAACCATCGAGATAGTTGTTATACAGACTGTCCTCAGCCTCTTTAAGCTGGGAAGGTTTGTTCAGCCTTTCCAGGGCTTCATAGAAATAAGGGATGTTGAGCTTTGTACTTGGGGTCTTCTTTGGTGATTGCTTTGGGGGTGAGTTTTTGCTGAAAGCACTCTCTAGGAGTTGCAGCATGGCCTCAGATGAAGCTCCCTCCACCAGCTTATCCCTTTTGTTTTCCACACTGCTGCCACTGAGGTTTTCTGTAGTCAGGGGTTTCTCATTCAGACTCTCTTCTGTGGGCTGATCCTAAAACACAGAATGTCACCAACAAAGGGAGGAAGACTCATTATTCAGCGCCAGGCAGGCCAGCAGCAGCACATGCCCACCACGTGCCTCTGGAGAAGCATTTTGGGGAGCAGAGGGAGCACGAGGTTTAGAGTCACACTAACTGAGACTTTGGTCCTCAGTTTTCTACTTCCTGATGTTCTCTTGTCACCTTTTTAATCTCCCTAACGTCACCTGTATAATGGGGGTAAGAATACCTCTATTTTGGGTGGTTTTGAAGACTGAATGAGATGTTGTATATGCTTATGCTTATTGATCTCCTTCACTTTGACAAGTAAAGTAGAATCCATGATAGGGAATTTAATAATTTTGAATTCATTAATGTTAGTTTCTAAATTCTGGATGCAAGAATAAATGAATAAAGCAATAGAGTTTCATCCTATGGAAAGTAAACAATTTACTATTTCCATTCCCTTTCTTCCCCACCCACATTTGACTCACTCCCAGCCTAACAGTTAGGGGCAGCTTCACTCAACGCACTGTCTACTACCATTCAAAAAGAGCATGCCAAGAAGAACATAGTCACACAGACCACCGCCAAACCCACCATCTTCTCTACCCCTCTTCTGTCATTCTGCACGGTGTTGTAAGACGTGTACACACGTGGCTGTTTCATGTGTTCTGGCTGAGAAGAGGTCCCATGCAAAATCAGTTTCCAGTTCACAATTCTTCCTTCATTTTGTATCCTTCCAGACTGATGAATGAGCATACATAATTTTAGCATGTGTTCTGAGTAACAAAATACTTCTTCAAAATATCTAAAAATTTCAGTTAAAATCTAATTTAAAGTCTATGGCCATGCCACCCTGAATGTGCCCGATCTTGTCTGATCTTGGAAGCTAAGCAGAGTCGGGCCTGGTTAGTACTTGGATGGGAGACCACCTAGGAATACCAGGTGCTGTAGGCATAAATATAAAAATTAAAAAATCGAATTTAAAAATTCTGTACATTCCACGTGTAGAGCTTTGTGCACAAAGAACTGAATCAGTGGGTTCACTCTTTTTATGAAAATTGACAGTTTATAGGCTCAAGGATTTAAAAACTGATTAATTGCTTCAATTAATTAAAAAAGCAGAGCTCTCTACACAAACCTCCTTTTCTCTATTGAGTGTGTTTTTGAAAAGTTGACTGTACCTTCTAGAAATAGAATTATATTTGCCAATTATTAACTTGTAGAAATAGTCCATTTGGAGAAAAAGCCAGCCTCTGTGGAGCATTATAAACAGCCTTCAGCATTAATCAGCCCTTAAAAACTGTACATTTATGAGAAGAGGCTTAACAACTACGTTAAAAATGATGTGCTGAAATCTAAAATATCTTAAAAAAACCTAAAAGTGTAGAGTCAAATTTGCAGTTCTATCTTGGTAAGTAGTTTCCTGGTGGTGAAAAGAGTAGAGGCCATGTTCAAGAACAGAACTACCTACTAAGAACATTTTCTTGTTCTTATGAGAGCAGGATTTTTTACAGCTTACATATCTAAATTACAATTTTAGCTGTCTTTAGAAGAAAGCTATTCTCAGGAAAAAAAGTAACAATAAATATAGAATTTCTATTAATTTACTTGACATCTTGAAGAATTTAAAATCATCTTTTTAAAAAGTTATCTAGACATTGAAATCTGGTGCTGTTGATATTTATAACATGTCCATCTCAGGAGAACTCAGACCAAAACACCATGTATTTATATGCTCACCTACAGAAAATGCTAGAGAAATGATGCAAAAATAAATAATTCAGCTGTATTTGGCTTTTTGCTCAGACACTTCTTGCTTTATTTTTGTGACTGTGTGTTACAATTATAGAAAAATATCAGAGTGTTAGTAAATAGAGTGAAAGAAAAATGAGAAATGCTTTTCAGTTTGTTTCATAATTGAAACAAAACAAAACAAAGTCATATTAAATAAGAAATCTTGTCTAACAAGTAAGCTGCTTCACATTGCAGTAAATATATGTAAGAGTTTCTTTCATGTGACCCTGGCAGTGTCATAGCAAAGCTGGTTTTAGCATTTAACTGTTTGTGAATACAGCTCATTCTTGTGGCTGAGTACATCATGTGGCTGGTTACATTTTCACATGAGAACACTTAGATCTGTCCAACAGTCTGTCACACTGTGTATCAGAATATCTTCTCCTCCCTCTATGGCCAGCCAGTGCCTATTTTTTTTTGTTTTTAATTTACATAGTAAAGTAGGCAGGACTTGAAACACTTCACCTTTTCCTTACTTCAACTATAGAATAAAGTTTCTTAGGGCCCTAATTAATGATGACACCAACCTTAAAATTCCTTCAAAGTGTTTAAGAATGAGCTTATGTTTCTGTAGCCTTTCATTCATACTTACCATGTCTGTAATTTGCAAAGTCCAGGTGCCTACTGGATTTTCTCCCCACGTGTGAACAGACATGAAGTCCCAATTTTTAAAGCCATTGGGAGATGTATCCCGCTCTCTTTCAGCCAACAGAATGGTGTTGGTTCCTGTTTTCATGCAACAAACACAAGTTAATGAATGTCCTACCAGTGATGATAATAGGATGCACTCTAGCATCTGATAACTAAAAATGAAAGCCAGGAGAGATTAGCCCTCCAAATTTTCCCTTTGAGTATAAGACTAGGATAGAAGAGATATTTGCAAGAAAAAAAATGTTTTTATCCACAGTACTTTGCACATTGCTAGACATGTAATACGTTTTTAATAAATATTGTGGAGAAATAAATAATGAATATATTAAGATTTATTTGAATAAGAACTCAGAAAACTATATTTACAAACTACATTAAAGAGAGTCAAGACCTTAAATTCATTTTAATAAAACTATCATTTTGAAATTTAAATAGAAATTTTGACAATTTAATAGGTGCCTGAGTCTATAATCTAGTGTAGACATAAAAAATAAAGCTATATTAATTTAATAATCTCTTGTTATATAAAACTAGTAGTATGAATAACTGAATTTTCAAATCCAAGCTCTCTAAGAATCAATAAATATTTCTTTCTAAGTGAAAGAGTCAAACGAACTATAGGGCCATCAGTAAAAAAGCATTCTACCAATATTTCAGGCCAATTCCAAGATATCTAGAAAGCATAACTCCAAAATTAGCAGAGCCTACTCCAGACCTCTAAGAAGTTCATAGAAGATTACAGAGCTAGAATATCTTTCCTCATATATCACCTATAGAGATTGAATTTAGTCAGAAATTGAATCCTACTAAAACATGAAAGAGTACTGGCATAGCTTCTCCTGGTTGGATTATGGTTTATGTTCACAAATTCATTCCTATCTAAGATCTCATCTGAATTAGTACCTTCTCAAGAAAGAGCACATGGCCCTATTCATATCATTATGGAAAAGTTGTTAATCTTCTCAACCCTCTTTCATTGGATCAGAATTTTCAGTTTTTCAATTGATTCTTCGGATATCCCTGATTAATCTGTCAGCTTTATTAATTAATTATTAGAGTAACTTTCACTACTGTGTTACCTGAGAGAAAAAGAATGATAGATTGGTGACCTGGGAAAATGAACATGGTTTAAAAATGTGAAATTCCAGAAAGGTTTACTAATTGGTATTAATTGAATAAACCTCATCCTCTGCTTATCTAAAGGCCAGTGGGAAAGAGCAGGGCAGAAATCCAATGCAAAAACAACAACAACAAAAAACAATAACAAAAAACCCAAAAAGAAGAAGCATATTGTTTAAGACCTGAAAATATCTATTGGGAGAGTTAGTCATATAAATAAACAAAAACGCTAATTGATTTGAACTAATTCAGTTTACTTAACAATTTAAACAAAGAGTTTAGAAGAAATTTTTGAAGTTAAAAAAAAAAAAATACCAGCAGCAGAAGTGAGAGTGACATGAAGATCTCCTCTTCGGGAATATTCAATTGTTCCTTCGAACTGTACGTGTTCCAGCGACACGATAGCATTTTCTTGTCCTTCACAAGCTCTTGTTGGAATTTCAATGATAACTTCTTCATTAGCTCTCAGCGCTCTAAATATATTACAGAATCATCACTGAATAAAATATAACTCTTTTTTCTTTCATTTTATGCAAATATGTACACATCAGTTTTGATTACTCAACTAAACTTATTGTCTCTCCCTATTATGAGTAGAACTCAATTCAGGATTAGCTAGAAAGGATGTTTAATGCACAGAATATGGTAAGGTTTTTACAGAAATAGAAAAAAAATTTCTACAATTTTTATGAAACCACAAAAGATCACAAACAGCCAAATAAATCCCGAGAAAGAACAAAGCAGGAGGCATTGTACTTCCTGATTTCAAAATATACTAGAAAGCTACAATAGTCAAAACACTATGATACTTGCATAAAGACAGACATTTAGACCAATGGAACAGAATAGAGAACCGTTATGTGTTCTTACCACAATAAAATAAAACAAAATAGTAAAGAACACAGATACTTGAAAATAATGCTATTTGCAGTGGAATTGAATTCAGGCAGGTTTTCCTTGGACCCATCAAAAAGTGGTCTCTCACTGCAATAGATCCTCTTAAGAAGACCTTCATAAGAAATTATTTTATCTTCCTAATGTATACCCCCTAAGCCTCCTACCTTTGGGTGTTTTCTATGAGTGGATCATCGATATAATCATGGTTGCCATAATAGAATCAACAAAAACAGTTGTAGCAAATTCTGCTTCTGTGGCTAGATGTAGTAGGTCAAACATGGTCTATGTAAAAGCAGTACAATAAAGGATCTTTGATGGAAGAAAAGTCATGAATCACATAGTACGGTGGCATGAAATGAGGCTCTTGAGATAATGTTTTGGATAATACTGGGTGGCAAGCACTGTATATCATCAGTTCTAGAACGTATTTTTTTAACATTTTAACATCTTTGAATTTGAGATGATTCTTAAAAGTGATTTGTAATAGTTTAATTAGCAATAATTTTTCTTAGTAGTATATAAAACAATGGTGTACCTTAAACTTAATGCTAGATGGTAGGTAGCCTATAAGAGAAAAATGCAAATATGATAATAGTCATCGATCTTTGATCTCTCAATGATTCACCATGGTCACACAGTGAACCCTGGCAAATGCTGCTTCCATCTACTTCAGAAGGGTAGGTGAGAAAAAATCAAGGGAAGTGACAAGCATCATATCAAATTGTGCCATGGGCACACATTTGTTCAAAATTCCTGAGACACTCACCTGGGCTGAAAGTCATTGTCCTTTACAACACAGACTTTCTTCTCAGGCACACTGTTCCAGGTTCTAGGATCAGCTAAATCCACTAGAGCTTTGGCATTCAGCAACCCGAATCCAAATCGACTATTTACCATCAAGCCTGCTCCATTCTTTTTCCATCCAGGGTTATTGGCTAGTGGGTCATATTCAGAGGTCCATACAACCAAGTGCTGCATATCTCGCCAGGTGAGATTTGGACTGAAGGGAAAGTGACCCAAAATATCAAGGACAAAATGAAGTTTCCTTACAAAAGCAAGTGCTAAAACATGCATTTCCATTCAGAGATTATGATGTACCTTTTGCAACTGTACTTATATAATTCTAATGTGTATTACTATTGGTATGTCTTTTGATTCAGAATTCAAAATACAGTACTGAAAACTTCTCCCTGTACTATGTAAGTTAAGCTCTTACTATGAGTAAAACTTTGTCTTCAGGATTGTAGAAATGTAAGACTTGGTCCATGATTTCTAATTACTTAAATTTAACTGGAGCAAAAATGAAAAATGACAGCACTTCCATTGTATCTTTCAGTCTTCTTTCCATTAACAACTCTGGCACTTTTAGTATTATGAATCCACAGATAAGGCCCTGACTTCCTTCTTAAGAACTTAGACTCAGATTTTAAAGACATGAGCTGGCTACCTACTCAAATACTTTTGTCTCTTTTCTTTATATATCAAAAGTATCAAGAAACTCTTAGCTACTTGAGAACTCTTCAAGACACCATGTTGAATGCTGTGGAGATATTCAAAGAGATTGTTCTTGTTTTTAAGAAGCTTACAATCTAGTAAAGGAACTAAGTCTTTTTATAACTGTAATATATCTGTTGAATGCTATGTTCATGGCATAATGCATTATAGGAGTTTTGAGGAGAGAAGATTCTTTGGGAATGGGAAGATCTAGGGAGGCTTTGCTGGGAAGAAATATCTGAGCTGGACTTTGAAGAGTGAGTAGAGTATCAAGAAGTGGAGTGAGAGAAAAGAGGATGAGGTGATAGAGCAAAACCTACGAGGGAGGAAGTACAGGATGTGTACAGGATGTGTCTGGTTTGCTGGAGCAGGAGAGAGGTGATGAGAACTGAGCCAGATGGTGAGGACTTTGACTGCCAAAAAAAAGGAGCTTATATTTTATCTTTCGGGCAATGGGCAATCATCAAGGACTTTTGAGCAAGGATATGTTATAATCAGATGTCTTGATAAAATTAATTTATCAACAATATAAAGATATATCAGAGATGCATGGATTCAGGTAATGCAAATGAAACCTTTCCTGATCACCCTATTTAAAATTTCATTTCTCCCCACATGCTCCTGAGCTCTCTTATTCTGCTATACTTTTTTCTTTTATAGCACTTATCACCCTCTTAACATACTGGGCAACTCATTCATTTTATGGATTATTAATGTCTGTCCCCTCTGCTAACATTAGCCATGAGAAGGGCTCAGATTTTAATGAATCTTGTTCTCTTGATGTATACCTGGCATTCAGAAGAATTCTAAGCACAGAGTATAGGCTGAGTAAATATTGGTTGGTTGAATGATTGAATGTGCCTAAGTGCTAACTAGCCCCAGCCCCCAATTTTAAAACTTTTTGCTATTAGTCATTAGAGTCTTTCAAAATCTCAAGCTTTTCTTTAACTTTGAGACCTGTACTGTTTCTGTCAAGCCTATCAAGCATTATTTAATAAATAACCAAGTGTTAGTCCTCAAGGTTTCTATATTATCACTAGGTTGTAAAATAACGCTCAGGGGAATCTGGCTCAGTTTGTTATTTTTTTCCCCAGAACCAATAATGTACTGGTTAAATTGTCCCTCGATAACAAGAAAGAGGCAATGTACATTCCTAAACATTGAGGACTCTGGCTCCTGGTTAGTAACCCAGGCCTCAGAGATATTGCAAAGGCTACCTGGCAGGCCTCACAGGGAAGCTTTCTCCCATGCAAAGCCCATGCATCACAGTCTCTCCAGGGAGTTGGAATCAAGGACTCAGGACCCCTTCTTTGTCATATTTACATTCCTAGCCCCCCATATTTTTGTTCTTATGTCTCCTCATCTGAGGCCTTGGTCAGAGGTCTTCTTCAGCTGCCTCTTCCAAGGCCTCCTTGTGTGGGGAGTGGAGTAAACCTTGAAGACATTGTCCCCCATTCTGACTCAGTACCCAGTATTTTTCCACTCCTAGAATTCCCCCAAGCCCTACCCTTACCCCAGAGTATGTAAAACTACTAGAGCCTTTTGTTGTGGCTCCCTCAACGTGAGATGACCCCCCATGAATGTGCTGCTCTGCCTGACCCTTGACTGGTGCACACCATTCCTTAGGGAAAATGAACCAGGGGAGTCAGTGCTCTTTTTAGTTTAGACTCTGGTTTATACCATTACGGTAAGCAATTAAGGGCTTAACTCTCTCTTTTTGGTTTGTTGCTTTAACTGGCCACTCAGACACCTAGCAGCTCAGCAGGCTCTCTCTCAGCTCATCTGAGCTCCTGACAAACATACCATTTAACCCCAGAGAGGGACTGATGGACATTTTAGGAAGACTCCAGGTCAGTGATTCTCATAGGTTCCAGACTGCTTGCACCATAACCACTTGGTACACTTGTAAACATTGAAAACTCCTGAGTCCCATCCTAAACCTACTGAATCAAAATATCTGAGAGTAGGGAGTGATTTTATATTTATGTTTGAACAAAACTATCTAGCATTTCTATGTAATAGCCAAAATAATGAGTTGGAAGAAATAATACAAGCATATAACTAAATTAATTATAAGTCATTTCAAATCATGGGGCTCAGAATAGAGAGTAATAGAAGGCATATTAAACTACATTCTACTACCAACAACCTGTGTGACCTTAAGCAAGTCACTTCATCGCCTCGGGCCTGATTTGACTCATCTATAAGAATAGAGGATTGAGTATAATAATTTCCAGAATTCCTTAGTATTCAGACCTCCTATCTACCCAATATCATTAATATCTCAACTGTAGATCTTGTTTCCAAGTTGACCACCCCACATTCAGGGTGAGCAGAAATGGCTGTTTTCTTAATGCAGAAATTAATTCTGTCCTATAAAGCATTTTATTGAAATTCTTGCCTCCTTTAGTCTTTTAAAGGAAGTTTCAGGTAAAAGTCTCTTAATCAAGGTAGTCAATAGGCAACACATCCCTTTCCTACTGGACAATTAGCGTGAGCGGGTATGGAGGTTGGGAGGAGGAATCATGATAATCATGATAATCAAAGCATATACTTCCTATATTTCTATAGAATAGCATTTGTTTTAGATTTAGTTGCAGATTTTTAAATTTTTTATTTTACCTATCCTTTTCAAAATATTCAAGGGGGCTTCGCTATCATGCAATTTGGAAAATTAAGCCTATTTTCCTAACAGACATTCATTTGTGCGATTGCATTTCATAAATGAAAAGGGACTGCTAATAATAGTGCATCTTGTTTCTGAAAGCCTTCCTTTGTTAATTAGTGCTCAACGGGATCCACAATAATTAAAAATTTTTAAACTACATTGAGTTGTTCATCAAGTATATGTTTATAGAAAATAAGGGTTGTAGAATTAAACATTGAAATTAAGCATTGCTTCTAATTAGAAGAATGTAACTAAAGTAATCTGGAAACAAAATTCTAAAGTGAAAACATCTTAGAGGCTACCTGGTTCTGTCTCTAGTGACACCTAGGTAAGCCTCGTATGCTGAAGATTTTCTAACATTTCACAATCCACTGAGCTAAGGATTTCTTTTACATTTGTGATTTATCCAAAGGTTTCATGCAGCATTGAAAGTTTATTTCCCTTTCTCCAGCCTTTAATGAAAACAGAAGATTAGTTCATGTTTGTTTAATGCCTCCAAAGATGTAAAGGGATTCAATATTTCACTATAGAATTTTTATTCTCTATTAAAAATTATTCTAATTCCTTTGTTCTCTCCACAGAAGACAGAATTTATTGTCTGCTATCTTTCTTATTTATACTCACTACATAATAATAATGATGCCATAGGCATTTATCCAAGGAATTCCTGTCTTTTTAATGACTATAAGCACCAGAATGGGCATTTTATAATCACAGCTGGATGAGGTTTCAGGTAAAAATAGTTGTAAAGAAACTCTTTACAGCAGTTATTTCTCAAAATTTGGTTAAGGTAACTACTAATATTAAAACTACCTAGGATACTTATTTAAAAAATGGAGATTCCTAGGCCAAAAACTTCTGTATCTGAATTGCTGGCAATAGCCCTGGGAATCTGCATACCAAGTAAACTCCCAAGGTGATTGTTATATATGCTGGTGTTCAAGAAACACTCT